TAAATTGAGGCACAGAACAAGCAAGGTAGCCGGACACTGGTCCGATGATCAAAGAGCGAGAGACAAGAAAGGCGAGGCTCACCAAGCCATTTATCTCTCCGCCCTTCAGTTAATCCCACTTGTGTTTATCGGCCAGGCTGGCACAATAAACTATCTCAGACATGCATTAACCTACTGCTATCAAGTTTATTTCAACTCATAGTTGTAAATCTTGATGGGAACATATAACTTCATCTTTCTCCTACAGATGTACTTTAAGGGTCAAATATTTGTCCCCACTCTTGCCGCCATACCTTTCTCCGTTAGCATCTGAGAGTCCTGTACTGGAATGGACACAGGAATATTCTGGACATGTCTTCTTTCTTCTCATCACTTATAGTTAGTGGCAAATCTGTTTATTCAGAAACCCCAAAGACATTAAGAAAGTGGTATGGGTATTCAGTGCTGTAAGCACAAATGAGTGCATTTTGCAGCAACTTCCTCTTCCTGGGGTGGATCTCATTTTGTGCTCCTCCAATTACATTCCCCAATGTCTTCTCGGCTCTTTAACATTGGAATGAAATGGGCAATCCCTTGAAAATTTTGCTTACCTGTTTATTCTGTTTTGGGATCAATATATATACTGCTCCCATCAGATTGTCAAATAATTTAGTGACATCTCCTCCAACCCCCAACCCCGAAGTACTACACTAGAGAGAGATAGGGATAATACATTAAGCTTAATCCATACCAACCTCTCCACCAGACTTGCTGGGTGTGTGGCTGACCATACTGTTACCTGGAGCCACAATGCCTATGGGCTTTATGGTCTTGGAAAGAGCCCCTTGACACAGAGGCTACTTTTTGGCACTTCCTGACCTCAATATGTATTTGGCTCCTAGCAGTAGGTTTTTCATTTGTACAAGTTTTAGGTATTGCCGTCATCATTGGATTTAGGCTGTATTATTGTTTTAAATATCTCTTTCAACATCTCTGTATCATTTTTTGCCCTGGAAAAACCATTTTCATCGAACCATCCCCTATAGTAATCAGAGGATTTGGTAGAGTGTATTTGGCCTTATTTCTATACTCACAATCATGGGCATGGAAAACTAGCCCTATTTTGAGAAAGAGGTCCATTGTTCCGAGATAGAAATGTTTGCAAATACACATTCTGCAGGCAGAAAATGTGCCCTCCACAGTAGCCCTCCATTAAGGAGCAGTGGGTTGTAAAGGAGCTACCATAAAAGATGAATCATCCTTGTGTCTGGCTACTTCACTATGCCTGAAGGTTATCTGTAGGCAGGAGCAATCAGGTTCTTTAACCAACCCACCATAAAATGCAGCAAACCTGTTGACATCTCTTGCTGTTACAGATCAGAAATTAGTCCCCCTGGGGAGGGCTCAAGGGTGTTTGAGGTCAACTTAACACTAGGTCAAGATGGTGATTCACCTCATTGCTTGTTTATTATGTTACCTGCTTATGATATTACCTATTGACTATGTAATATGTTTGCTGTATGACGCGTATGCCTTTTGAAAGATCTGTAAGCCCCATTATATATACTCATTGGAAAATACATCCAATTGTCCTGACATAGGGACAAGGACCCCCTGTGCCCCATTGTCTGTCTGTCTTTAGTATTTTCCACAATCGCAAAGTGGCTGCTGAAGACCCGTTTGAGTGTTGGGGACCCTCGTACCCCAACAATCCCCTTAGGTTTAGAGGACTGAAGGACAAACTACACTTTCACTGTCTCATCTTGGGCTGAACACTTACCAAGGTACAATAAGGTATAGAAGCTAAGGTATAGGGGCTAAGGGTGTGGCAAGCATAGAGCCACTTAATTTACTCAGTTCATTCATTTCACATAAGACCTTATTGAATGTGCCAAGCACTGGGATTGTAGGAGTAAACAAAACAGACAATATGCCAGACTCATGGAGTCTGGCAGACAAAAATCAGACAGGTAAAGAGATACACAAATAATATAATTACAGATTGTGATAAGTGCTAGGGAAGAAATAAACAAGGTGATGAGTCCCTGGAGGAAGCCACTTTAGATCAGCTAGTTTAGGAAGGACTCTCAAGATGGTATTTGTGCTGAAATCTGAAGAATGAAGATGATTTAGCTATGCATAGGGTGGGCTAGATTTATAAATTTAGGATGAAAATATTTTAGGAAGAGGAAGCAAGAAGACTGACTGGCTTTATTAAAGAAAAGATCTCATCATGTTTGAGAAATAAAAATGATTAAGGTGTCTAGAGATTATAAGAAGGAAAGAGCTGGATAGGAGATGAATTTGGAGAAGTAGATAGGGCGGGCATATCATGAAGGGTTTTAAGGAACATATTGAATATACTTCATTTAATTTTAAGTGCAATGGGAAATCATTGGAGAATTTTAAGCAGGAGAATGAATTGTTCTAATATTTGGAAAGATAATTCTAGTTAGCTATATACGAGGAAAATAGATAGGAAGCACAGAGAAAATTAGAATGTCATGTAAGTAGTCCAATATGACCTAATGGCCAAGTGTAGGGTGTCACAGTGGAGAGGGATGGATATGAAGAATTAATTCAGAGAAACAACCAATAGAACTGTTTGCGACTTAGATATAGGGGTTGAGGAAAATAAGGTAGTAAGAAAATAGCCTAATTTTTGAATTTGAGGAATTAGGTGTTTGTAGGTATCATTTGTTGAAATAGACAAGATTGGGAGAGGAACAGGTTTATGAGAAGTAGAATTAAGAGGTTATGTATTAGATATAATGACTTTGAGGTACCTGTTAATCATCTGAGATCCAAGTGGAGATATACCAGTTATGTAGTTGTACAAGAATCTGGTGCTCTGGGAGGTTTACGTTGAGGGTATAAATTTGGGCATCATTGGCAGCTATTTTAAGAGACGTAGGGGAGAATGTGGAGCTAGAGGAGATTTCCCATGACTGGATAAGTAGAAAGGCAGGAAGTTAAGGAGAGAAGGAGGAGTAAGAGGAGGCACCCGGAGAGAGTGGTAACAAGATGCAGAACAAAAGAATGAAAGGAAGGATGAATGGTTGGAGGAACAGGAAGGTCATGAAGAAAGTGTGGAATGAGAGGAGCGTCTATATGCTGACGGAGTGATTCACTCGAAAGGAAGGACTTTGATGTAGGAGAGAGGGGGATAATTATGGGAGCTACAACTTTTTAAAGAGGGTAATGGGACTTAGAGTATAGAAGCTGTTGTAACAGAAGAAAGCAGAGAACGCTAGTTCAGTGCAGGTTGGTTTATGTGGTCAATTAAGGTACAGAGTTGGTAAGATGAGAGCTCTTGCTCATGTGAAGAATGAGGTGAGATTACTAGCTAAGTGTGTGAGTGAATAAGGCGTGTGTGTGTGTGTGTGTGTGTGTGTGTGTGTGTAGTTGGGATTAAGAGGAGATGTAATAACGAATCGCCTGGGAGGAGAGACTTGATGAGATTAATCCTAACCAAGTCTTCCCCTAAAACCAAACTCACTGCCATCGAGTTGATGCTGACTCATCAGAGCAACCCATAGGACAGGGTAGAACTAACTGCCCATGTAAGATTCCAAGACTAACAGTTTAGAGGAGTAGATAACCTTGTCTTTCTCCTGAAGAACAGCTAGCCGTTGGTTTCGAACTGCTGAGCTTGGAGTTAGGAATAATCAGTTGAGTTATAGCCCTGAATACTTAGCTTTCAGAGAGGGGAAGGTGCAGGGCGGTGGCATCCCCATGTAGCTGGCCGTGGATGGTGCTCTGCAGGGTGAAGAATTCACTCCTCTCTCTCGTAGGAGCGTGGTGATGAGCCAAATGAAATATAACTTTTTAAAGAGATTAACATAGTACCCAACACATGGTTAAGTGCTCAATAAATGGGGGAGTGATTAGCTATTATTAGCTTGGGAAAACTGAGGAGGCAAGTCTCTTTCCCAGAGGCCTAAAGGGACATGGGATGAATCCAAGGCTGCGTGAGTAAGCCCGAGAGCTTATTCCCTCATGAGCTGGGGCCTGCTGAGATGGATGTACTGCCCTTCCTGGAGTACAGGAGGCCAGGAGGCCCTCTTGATTGCCTAGTTCTGTCATAACAGAAAATAACTCATATGGTGTGTGCTCAGGCCCTAGTTTTCTCTTTCCTAGAAGAAGAGAAGTAGGGTGCATGTTACTTCTTGTATGAGTCCACTGCCCACCCTGAACTTCTACTCTGGCACATGCTGAGGGGGCAGCAGACAAAGACACTCCCTGCTTGCTTTTGTCTGAGCAGCTGACTGAAACTCTGTTAGTGATGGACTTCTGCTCACCCGGTGCCCTCCCTCCTGTCTCATGAAATGACCTCCGTCTTAAGGGTTGATGAGTTGTTTAAGTTGTCATATGCAGAGAATGATCTGATATATGTAAAGCCCACCTAATTCACAATAGAAAGGTTTCTTTTAAAGTGGATTACTACCACTCCACTAGGGACTTGCCTGGGTGTGCCCTTCATGGAAATTGGGGTACTAAGGTTACATAGTCGTGAGTCATATCCTGGTTGCCCTGATTGGAGAATCCCTAAACCAATCTTGTAAGCTTTTCTCTCTAGAATAATATACATGCCCCATCCCATCAGAGTCCCCTTCTCCCTTCTGTAGTCCTGTCTGCAATTGTATTGCTCTGCCACCAGTCCTGCTTTTGTAACAGGTTCTCTTGTACTTCCATGCGCAACTGCAGTGGCCATCTCTCTCTGAATCCTTGGATGCCACTATGACCTGTGCTTATGATCTCCCTCATCTGGATATATTGTTTTTGTCATGTTTAAGACTTAATAAAAGTGTCTGTATAAATTTTTTTTTTAATTTAAGCTGTCTTCTGCTGTATCATTTCTTCCTTAACTCAAAGTAAGGTCCCTCTCTTGGACCTCTGGTTCCCCAAGGAAACAGGGAGGAGAGTTAGAGCATTCAGAATTAGAGATGGTCTGGCCCAGCTTGCCTTGAACTTGGGGAAATTAATACCTCCTTCCTGACTTTCCACTTCTCTTTGGACAGGCTGGACGTAAACACAAATGCCTACACATCGCAGGACCTCAAGAGTGCACTGGCAAAACTCAAGGAGGGGGTCAAGATAGAGGGTTCAAAGGAAGACAAGGTGAGTGATGTTCTCAGGTAGTTAATATAAGCATATAAGCCTACAGGGCAAGCTTAGTGTTTTTGCTACTAAGATAATAACTTTTTCTTACAGTTTTCCTGAAACTTTCATAAACATAAGCATGGGATAGTTATAATAGTACTAATGTGCAATCGTTTTTTAAAAAATGCTAAATGAGTGGCCCTTTTTTTCTTTTTGCCAAATTAATTCTTATTTGGTTAACAAGTAAAATGTTTCCTTTCCAATAGTCTATCAAAGTCCAGACGAACTATGAGTAGCCATTTATAAACCTTTAGTTTATAAAGCCTGTATAACTATTTTTTTTTAATGTTGGAAGCATTTCTGTCATGGTTAAGGTTAGTATCCAACTTTCAGAGGTGGCCATACTTTTGACATAGTAAACACATGGAAGTGAATAGGAAGTAAACCCCATATCTTTGCATTTATAAATTAGCCACAAGCTTATTCCAAAAAGACAGAGGAGCTAGGATAGGAAGGAAGAGTCCTGGGTGCTTGTCTTTGAATATGAAGCAAATTCATCCTTCCTGGGATTCAGATTCTTTAACTATAGAACATGGAATTGGAATAAGATACTGAGGTTTCCTTCACTTTCAAATTACAAATTCAGGGAATGAGAAGGGAAAAGAGGCAGAGTTCAGCAGATAGATAGTATATGAGGGGGTACCAAAAAAACCTGCAATTGCACTGGGTGGATGGAGTTTTCATAGTACTCATTTTTCCTGCTAGGGGAACATCAAGGAACTCACTTTGAGTTAGTGCACCCAGTGGTGTTGCCAGGGAAGGTTCTCTCTGGTCACAGTAAATTTTTTCCTGAAAACAGTTTCACTCAAACCTCGTTTTTTGTGATGGTTCATTTAAGAGAACAGTGTGTAGCTGTGAAATTTTGTTTCCTGCCCGGTAAAAATGCTGCAGACACTTATGATGTTGAACACAGCTTGCGAGGACAGTACTATGGGAAAAACTCAAGTATACGAGTGGTTTTCTCACGTCAAAAACAGTGCAATGTCGAATGATCATAAGCCTTATTCTGGACATCCGTCAACTTCCTGAATGAACAAAAATGTCGACTCAGTGCATTTGGAGTTTGTTCCATCAGGTCAGAGGGTGAGTCAAGCTTTCTCTTTCGAGGTTCTGAATAGATTGTGTAACAGTATGTGGTCCACAAGGAGGACTGGTTTTGCCATCACAACGATGGACCTGCTCATGCAGCCATCTCAGTGCACTAGTTTCTGGCAAAAACCAGCATGCCTCTCTTGCCTCATGTACCTGACTCACCTGACCTTGCTCCGTGTGACTTCTTTTAGTTTCTGAGAATGAAGAGGGAAAGGACAGTGATTTGAGGACAGAGAAGCGGTAAAGAAAAAAAACAAGGGAGGTGCTGTCAGCCATCCAAACTGACGAGTTTCAGAAATGTTTCCAAGAGTGGAATCAGAAATTTGACAAATGTATTAAGTGTAATGGAGATACTTTGAAGGTGATAGATTGTATTGTAAAAAAATTTTTAAATATGTAGCTTTGAAAAAAAATTGTGTGTGTGTGTGGGGGGGCTGTGATAACTCCTCGTAAAGTTCCTGGGCTACATTCCTAATATTAGATGGTTCCTACACCAGACAGAAATATTACCCTGCATATGGATCATGAGGTCAAGTAATACCCAGAGGATATCACAAGCATTTCATCATATTCCAATTGAGTCCTGTCAGTCCTTGACATAGCCTTTTCCGATAGCCACCTTGGAGACCTTTCTAAATTCACCCTCCATCATCTCTTCTTCACAAGTCTGTTGGCCTTTATCCACCTCTCTGTCTTTGATACAATCTGGTAATGTCTTGGAGAATCAGCATTTGATCTTTGACAACTAGTATGGTTTTTGTTTATTTGTTTTAAATCATTTTATTGGGGGCTCGTACAACTCATCATAATCCATACATATATCCATTGTATGTCAAGCACATTTGTGCAATTGCTGTACTCATCATTCTCAAAACATTTGCTTTCTACTTGAGCCCTTGGTGTCAGTTCCTCATTCCCCCCCTTCCTCCTCACTCCCCTCTCCCTTATGAACCCTTGATAATTTATAAATTATTATTTTGTCATATCTTACACTGTCCGATGTCTACCTTCACCCTCTTTTGTGTTGTCCATCCCCCACGGAGGAAGTTATGTAATCGGTTCCCCCCTTTGACCTCACCTTTCCTCCACCCTCCCGTTGTCGCCACTCTCACCACTGGTCCTGAAGGGATCATCTGTTCTCGATTCCCTGTGTTTCCGGTTCCTATCTGGAACAGTGTACATCCTCTGGTCTAGCCAGATTTGTAAGGTAGAATTGGGATCATGATGGGGGTTGGAGGGGAAGCATTTAGTAACTAGAGGAAAGTTGTATGTTTCATCCTTGCTACACTGCACCCTGATTGGCTCGTCTCCTCCCTGTGGCCTTTCTGTAAGGGGATGTCCAGTTGCCTACAGATGGGCTTTGGTACCCCAATCTGCACTCCCCCTCTTTCACGATAGGCTTTTTTGTCCTTTGATGCCTGATACCTGATCCCTTTGACACCTCGTGCTGACACAGACTGGTGTGCTTCTTCCATGTGGCCGCTTGTTTACCTTCAAGCCTTTAAGACTCCAGATGCTATATTTTTGATAGCCAGGCACCATCAGCTTTCTTCACCACATTTGCTTATGCACCCATTTGTCTTCAGTGATCGTGTCGGGAAGGTGAGCATCATGGAATGCCAATTTAATAGAACAAAGTGTTCTTGCATTGAGGGAGTACTTGAGTGGAGGCCCAATGCCCATCTGCTGCCTTTATACCAAACCTATAAATATAAGCACGTAGATCTATTTCCCCGTCAAAGTCTTGGGTTCATCAAATCCTTGAGAACTGAGTTTTTCTGAGACGAATGAACCTTTTCTTTTTGGGTGGATGTTGGAACGGTAGTGTTTAACCTAATTAATTTGTGTTAATATGCAAAGCAAGTCTTCATGGCTTTACTCATCTTACTGAAGTCACACTTTCCAGCATGGAATGTGCATTTGGTGTGGGAAGGCAGAAGCAGGTTGGAAGTAGCAGCAGCAATGGGTGAGGGAAGATGGTGCAGAAAATTTCATCCTGTTACAGATGTAATAGCTGAGGGTTCGGGGAGAAAAAGCCAATTCTCTAGCTGGTGCAGATGACACCAGGAGAGGAGAGGGGGAGAGCAATGAATGCTAAGTGCCTGGGGCTGAGATTAGGGTTTTTTTACTGGGGTTAGGTTCCTTCCCTCCTTCCCTTGACGCTTCAGTCCCTGTTACCATGGGCTTTTGTGTACTATTGGAAACACAAATGTCAGCCCCTGCCCTGTGGCTTCTCTGCAGATAGAAGGCCAATCACACCTCTCCTTTTTTTAGGAAATCCATGGATTTTCTTTCTATGGGAATGGCATTTTTGTATTCCCAACTCCTATAATTCATTTAGGGTACAAAATTATGAATGCTTATGAAAATATTCTTTTTGTGTGTGGTATGAAAACCATTTATCTTAATTTTTTCTTTTTTAATGGTGGTCTCACACCATATATATAGGATATTGTCTTTATATGATTGACTAACTTCACTCAGTTTATCTTTCAAATCCTTCCATGCCTTGAGGTGTTTGACAGTTGCGCCATTATTCTTTAGCAAGGCGTAGATAATATTCTTCTATATATAATCATCCTCTTTTCACTTCAAATCCATAATGCATTTTATTATTTTTGAAACAATACAATAATCAAGCAGCCATAATTGGGGACATTGTTGACTATTGAATAGAAGATACTGGACTACTGCCTTGTTTTTATTTTAATAGTTTTATTGGCACTTAATCCACATTTCACACAATTCAAGAGTTCAGTCAATATCAAGAATTGTGCAATCATTACCACAATCAATTTCAGAAGAAAATATTCTTTAAATGTGAAATCAAAAGATATTTAAAGTTTCCAGTTGCTGTTTTTGCGTGGATTGATTTCAGTACTAGAACCCAAATGAAAAATATCAGGACCAGCTGAATCAAGTCATCTGTCCACTTGTGAGATGTGGTTGCCTAACCTCTTTCATTGCTTCTAAGAGATTACATTGTTGGTTTCTTCAGTGATGTGCTGGGTCCTGGGGTCCTTCTCCCACTTTCCTTCGGGGTCCCTCTGGAGTGGCTCACCTCACTGCCCATGTGCTGTCAGAGCTGACTCAGAATGGAAAATCACTTGACTTTAAGTAGATGGGGGAGTTTCTTATATGTCTCAAGTTCCTGGCTATAGCTGGAATCTTTTTTTTTTCAATCAGTAGCATCTTTTTGTGTATCATTTATTAAATCTAGCCTGTGTAGTAGCTTGCAAGGGTAGGATGAGACTTTGCTATTTATAAAGATAGAACAGTCTGATAATGGGCCACTTCCTTTCAGTTGAGGAAATGTTTTTCTGGATTTTCTTTATTTTTTATGAAGGGCATCAATTCCTTTGTATGCAGTGGTGTCTTAGAAGTACTGCCCAGAGTCCCTTGCTTCTGCAGAAAAAGCCCTGGTCCCCAGATTTGGGTTTTTATTGTTGAGTCCGATCCATTTATTGCTCTGTTACCATACGTATTGTTTGGTGCTTTGTTTCATCATGCCAGTTTTGTTCACCTATATCCCACAGATTGTTCCATTTTAAAATATGCCTCTCAGAGCTGAGCTTATTGCTAGACAGGATGGAATAGAATCATTTCTCCCTATTCTTCCTGCTAAGAACAACGGAAACCTTGGCTGTTGCACCAAAGGAAAGCACTGCCTAGTGGACGACCGACTGGCTAGCTCTCTGGGTTTTCTTTTTGTCTTCTATCTCTCTTGGCCTGGATGTGGGAAAAGCCTGAAACCTGAAAAATGTTAGGTAGCAGATTTTTTTAAAAAACATATGTTGTAAATTTTATTTAAAAAATATATCAGTGTTGTAAAAAAGATTAGTGAGAGCCCGTAAGATTAGGACATA